ACTGAAACCCAATCATTAGAAGGTGAAGCAAAAACTGAAACCAAACCATTAGAAGGTGAAGCAAAAACTGAATCTAAACCATTAGAAGGTGATGCAAAAACTGAAAGCAGAACACAGGCAACAACTGAAAGTAAATTCAGTGCATTGAAATATTTTACCACTCCAGAACCAAAGGGAGATGGCCAAAAATTGGAAACTAAATCAGTTGCAGATGGCGATGAATTGGAAACCAAATCAGTGGCAGATCGCGAAAAACATGAAAGCCCTTTATATCATGATGCCCAAAAAAGCACAGCATCCAGTTCAGTGGATGTTGTGACAAAAGACTATATGAAATATAACAAATATAGTATCCCCAAAGAAACAGTAAGAGAAGGAGGAAACGCATCAGAAGTGGTAACTGAGTACCAGATGGCCGTTCTTAGTGAAGAGAAGAGTGTAGGAGGACACGGTGATGAAGAAGGAAATGTGTACTTTTACAATGAAGAAGGCATGCAAGAAGGAGAGGGTGAAGAAGGAATCATGTACTATTACAATGAAGAAGGCATGCAAGAAGGAGAGGGTGAAAAAGTAATAGTATACTATTACAATGAAGAAGGCATGGAGGAAGAAGATGGTGAAGAAGAAGATGGTGAAGGAGGAGATGGTGAAGAAGGTGATAGTGAAGAAGAAGATGATGAAGAAGGAGATGGTGAAGAAGGAGATAGTGAAAAAGAAGATGGTGAAGAAGAAAGGGTATACTACCATAGTCAAGAAGATATGGAGAAAGACAGTAAAAGACAAATGCACAATTTGCATGGAGATGGTATGCCAATTATAGATCCAAATAATGAAGATTTGGAACATGAGCAGGGAGAAAATTTGCCACGAATAAGAAAACCCGACGAGGAGAATAATGTGGATAGAAAAAAACTTGTACTCACAGATTACAAAGAATGGCTTGATCAGAAGGAATACAGTATAGTACGCGCACTACGAAATCTGTGGGATAAGATTTATAATTCGAATTTTATGATTCGGCATAGATATAAACGTTCTAGTGAAGATGAAGAAATGCTCACAAATTCTGAATGGCATAATTGGTTGCAGGAATTGAAGAATGAATGGTCACGCTACAATGTCTACTTACACCAGGAAAGAACTAAATGGTTCCAGGAAAAGGAAATAGAGTTCCGTCACTTTATAGAGAACTTCCAATTTAAATGGATGCATTACAACAAAGAATTACTAGAGGATCACTCTTTCGATGTTTATAAGAAATCACTAAAATGGAACGATACGAAATGGATTAAATGGATTGAAAGGGATGGAGAATCTATCATGATGATGGATATAGAGAAATGGATAGACCAAATTAGAAAAGAATACAATTTATGGCTACTGAAAGATTGGGAACAATGGAAAAGTAACAAAATTTTGGACTGGTTATTGAGTGAAAAGAAATGTGATCAATATCAGTACTGGCTAAAATGGGAGTATTCAAATGAAAAACCATCACTTAGAAACGAAAAACTGGACTGGTACAAATGGAAGAAGGTTAGAAAAAATGAAGCTAAAGACTGGAAAAAATGGGTCCATGAAAAAGATCAGGCATTAATAGAAGTTAAGGATGAAATATGGGAAAATTGGAAAGAGGAAAAAAAAAACGTATTTTTCTCAATGCTCAACCACTTTATTAACAACTGGATAGCCAAAAAGCAATGGAAAGTATGGGTACTGGACTTGGAAAGGACGTGTCAAAGCAATGTGTTTATCTAAAACCGATTCATTTGAACTCATCTTAATGGAAGCAAATGAAGACCAGATGTACGTGATAATTTCTCCCTCTGGAATATTTGCTTGACATAACTGCGCACATTAAAACTGCCAAGACTACCAAATTAGTCAAGGCCAGAAAAGAAAAAAATATATATCAGAAAAGGGAGGGGACAGAGAAGAAGAATTTTTTATTACATCAAATATGCGTATTTACAGAACAAGTATCTCCTTTTTTTGCATAGGGGCACAGTTTCCACTACATAGAACAAAATATTCCTGATATCCAGTACTAGGGAAAAAAAATCAGTTGTTCATGGGAAAAAATTGCAAAGATCAAGACGTCCAATACACAGAAATCTCTGTTAAAAAAGGAAGTACTTTTTCCTAATTCATACAAAAATATATCTCCAATTATGAGCAAAAAATGTCTCGAAAAATCATAGGAGGAAAAAAGCTTATGAGTATTTTACATATCTTTCTGGCGAGAATAAGAAACATCTGCTAGGAGACAACACTTATTATCTCTTCATAAAAAATCCCATTATCTTCGAAAAAATAGAATTATTTTAAAAATATGAATTCATTCTTTTTTTAAATTTTCATTGTAAAGACGTAAGTATATACTAAAAACGTTTATCGTTTAGGTTTTTTCTCAATTAGTTATGTTCGCGTTAGTTGTTACTATCTACATACATATTATACATATACTGTTATTTGTTTTCGTTCATTTGTTTTCTTTGATTTATTTATATATTTGCATTTATCTTTTCATTTATTATTCATTCATAGAATTATTTGTACGATAACATTTACAAGTACATATGCGGTTTATTTGAATGTCAGTTATTATTGTCTATACAATTATTTTTGTCGTTAGTAATAGTGTTTCAGTATCGGTTTTGCAATAATTTTTTTTGTCAACAAATATATATATGCTGTCCACCTTAACACGACTATTATGTTATTTTTCTACGATGCACATATAAGAATAGTTAATTTAAAACTTTATAAGAACCATTTTAAACATTAAATATTAAATGTTAAAATCTTCGCATTGGGGAATTCCGCATTAGGGTCTCAATATTAAAGATTAAATGTTAACTGATAAAAAAATTCAAATGTCAAATGCTAAATACGCAACGATGAATGTTCAATTTTCTGCTAATTATATATTGAAGGAGGAGAAGGTTCTGTTTCCCCCCAGTGTTTCATCGGAGCCACTTGCTATAAGTAATGAACAGATATGTACCCTATAAATTACTAGTTGCATTACCAATTTAAATCCATTTTCACTGATTATTCTTTTGGCTGCTCCAACTTTGTTGTCCTATATTTATATATTCCTCCCCCACCCTCCAATTCCTCAGTTCCTTCTTCTGTCATTTTTGAACATTTTTACATTTTCTGAACTTTTGATATTAAGTGCTTATCCTAAGAAAATGATAATTTCATTTTTATAATTTATCATTCTCTCCATAGTAAAATATTTTTTCTTTTATTTTATTTGGAAAGGGTTAAAAAAAAAAAGAAGAAGTCTCCGTTCGGATAAGTCTTGCAAATTTTCACCCCTTCTATTACGAATTTTTTTCTACATTCCCGAACCTTTTTTATTACCATTATTTCATGTATAGGTGTGTTATTCTTTATGTGAATAAGAAATAGGAGACTTTTATATACCATCAATTGTAATGCTCCAACCGAACGGGATGTTGTTTATATTAGGGGGAAAAAGGAAAAGTAAATACGATCTAGACATTGACCACTTTATTCTGTTCTACTCCGTTATACTCTACTCCATTCTATTATACTATATTGTGTTGTACTCTATTCTACTTTACTCTGTTCTATTTTATTTCTCTCCGATTTCTTCTTTTTTTTCCTGCTGAAGCACGAATAATTCCGACCTAACATTTATCGATACTGCAAAGTCGCACAGTTGTTGTTATTTAAAGTGCATCTCTTCTATTATATCATTAATTTGACAGTTGTTATTAAAAAAACGAAATTCTAAAAAAATCAAACTGAGTAATATAATGTTGAAGGTTATTCTAAAAAGTGGACATCCTTTTGCGTCCATCTCCTTTGAGATAATTAGATTAACTAAACAACTATTTAATTAGGGATATGCTACCACCGAACGTTTTATTACTTTATTGCAATATACAAATACATAGAGACACACCGATGTACGTACCTGAAACCTGTTCATTTGCCTCGTTTATCATCATAAAAGCTGATCCTTTTTTATGCTTCATTTTAAATGACTCTAACCGTAGTGGAAGTACCATAAACAATCATGTAACATTTTGTTGCTTATTTATTCCGTTCATTGCGTGCCATTTTGCATAGGCCATGAAGAAGGTAGTGCACATGTACATAGATGTAATTCCATCTTTTCCACTATTTTGAGCAAGAACAGAACTCTAATAACGACTCCTATGGAACCCTTGCACTGTATAATTATGTAATTTTTTCCCCTCATAAAAATGGCCATTTTCTTATCATTTCGCGTTCGCTCAATATACCATTGAAGCATTGGAAGGAGGCGATTTAATTCATCATTATTTCCTTTAAAAATTCATCCGTAACACATTGTTACTACGCGCGACTGCATAATTAAATTCTCGTTTCTGCAACTTTCCTGCCCCCAAGTGAGACATAATTTGGGCAATTTATTTTAGGCAAAAAGAATAATGCTACCAGATGAGGCAGAATAAATAAAAAGAAAGTACATACAATAAAGCGACTGTCACCATGCGCCGATTCTGACTAAATTGGGAGTAAACATATATATATTATATGTATATACCAATTTTACGCTCATCTATTTAAACGGGTTTAAAGAGCTTACGATATTCTCTTTTAGATGGAATCACTCTGAGAAATGTGGCCACACGCGCGCCGGTTAATTATTATATACAATTTGGTTAAACGGAGAGTGAACACAAAGTCATGCCTAACCGAGATGTAAACTTTACCAAAAAAGAGTTAGCTCTTTTCTTATACCTAAAAGTGGACCTTTTGAAATAAAGGAAGTTACAATTTTTTCATATACAGCTCACAAGATTTTTTTTTTTTTTTTTAGTTTCATATAACAGTTCTGTGAAGCTTGTTTTGCCCATTTCTTAAGCTGAGTACATAACATAAAGACATTGTTAATTTGTTTCTTCGTTTCCTGTTTTATGTATGTTTTATTTTATTTATATTCCTTAATTTTGTTTATGCGAATTGAAAATATCACTTTTTTCGATTCTCTTTTTTTTTTCAATACATAGAAAAGTAAAAAGCAATATATATATACAAAACCGAACATATAAAATCGTAAATTGTAAAATATACCCTTATAGCAGAACAACCTTAGTTTTTCATTGTCCAAAGAGCCTAAAAATAACCTCTTTCTGTCACAAAAATATACGAACCATGGAACTAAAAACCAATATGAAGGGTCCAGCACCCCAAAAAAAGTTCTCCCCTGCTAAGAAAACACGAAATAGAAATCCGACGTTATCCAAAATGACGGCAATTTTCACAGTTTCTCGTTTACATATGATGTTGTTTGCTGTATTCTTAGTTTTCATATTAAATCCCTCCTATGCTGTAAGAGAGAAAAAAAAGAATTGTCCCAATGCATATGTACACGTGAATGTACCCAGAAAGCACATACATATGTGAAATGCGCATGCACATATATCCACAAAAATGCATGCACTTAATTCCCACCCCACTCCCTCTTCGAGCATTACGTAACATATGGTTTATATATAAAAACGCTCTCTTTACATTATAACTCTTAAAACCTGTTGCAGGCAAGCACTGAAAGGGGAAGAATCAAGTGTTATCTTCCAAACAATTTAATGGAATTTTGGAAAGATAACATAGACAAATCAGAACAATTAAAAAAATGTGCATGGAATAACTGGATGATGAGGTTGGAATCAGAATGGGAAAACTTCAACACATCCATGAAGTGCAAAAAGAACTTATGGATGGAAGAAACAGAAAAGGAATGGACCGAATGGATTAAACAAATGGAAAATAAATGGATGAATTGTAATGAAAATATTAATGATCAATATAAGGATTATTTTCTATCCAAATATTCTACATGGACTGCTCAAGGATGGGAAGAATGGATAAAAACAGAAGGCAAAAACTTTATGAAAACAGATTTAGAAAAATGGATTAAAGCAAAAGAAACATCATTGGATTTGTTACTATTAACGGAATGGGTCCAGTGGAAAAATGCAAAGATCATGACATGGGTATTGAGCGAATGGAAAACTGAAGAAGACACCTACTGGTCAAAATGGGAACACTCAACATGGCTTAAGTGGCTCAACTTGACAGAGAGAAAACACTGGCTAAAATGGAAAGAAAGAAATCATAGGGAAGGTCAACAATGGTCTACTTGGCTGAACGTCAAAGAAAATGTTTATATATTTAGCGAGTGGAATAATTGGTCAATTTGGAAAAACGAAAAAGAAGAATTCTTCAATAAGTGGATGGATAATACAATTAACGAGTGGATAAATGAGGAAAAATGGAAGACCTTGGTGAGCACAGAACATGAGTCATAATCGCGACAGTGTTGGCCAGGTCTCGAAAGATTTAACCCCATTGAGAAAAGAAAAAAGGGAGAAAATAAAAGAAAAAAAAAATTATAAAATAAGATATACTTGACATTGTTTCGTTAATTAATTTTGCAAACTTGTATTTCATGGAAGAAGAATAGGAACTAGACCAAAAAAATCCCAAAAAATCAGGGGAAAATTCCAAAAATGAGGAAAGACAGAAAGTACAGTTTTCATCTCGCCCAATAACACTCCTAAAAAAAAAGGTAAATTGGTTTTGCCTATCACATTGTACAGGTGACAGCATAGATATTTTGCTTATTTCGTATGTTTTTCGTATTTTCCTTAGCTTGTATGTTTTTCGTATTTTGCTTGGTTCCTATTTTTTTCGTATTTTTCTTAATTCGTATGTTCTGCGTATTTTACACATTCTGCTCATTCAGTTTGTTTAACACATCCGTATTCATCTACAGTTCTCTTCACGCTTCATTCCCTTACATCACGCTCTTTTTTTTTTTTCCTTTTTCACCTGAACAGAAAGGCATTGTTTTTAAATAATTTTTATTTCCTCCTCAACTACACAAACCATTTGTTTATACACAAAATAAACATATTTTAAGTTAAGATTATTCCAATTATTTCTAACTTAGTTATATGCAGACGTATTGGTCTATTCACATATACGTAGCTATCATACTATTTTCGTCTTAGTCTAATCGTAATTCCTTTTCCTCCTAACTTTATTTGCATTTAATGTGTAACACATCATGCAAGCACATTTTTCATTAACAGAATGGAAAATGCACAAAGCAAAAAAAAAAAAAAAAAAAAAAAAAAAAAGGCAAAAAAGCAACAAAAAAAAAAGAAAAAACATATTTGATAACTTTATTATAACGTACTACATTTAAACCTAACATCGTTCAGGCATTAAGGGTTCCTATCCCCTGGTAATATTATTACATTTTCGTATAGTCATATTGTGGCTATAATTCTCCTCTGTTTTCTCTTCCTCGCTAAATTATCTATTTCTTCTGAACGTAAATTATTTTCTAATTGTCCATAAGTGGTTCTTAAAAAAAGAGAATGCTCGATTAGTCTTCTTTTCCCTTTTTCCCTTATAATAATTTTTACATGTTGACCGTGCCTTTCTTCCTGCTAAATAATATTCCAGAAACATGTCCTGCTGTTAATAATAGGATTGTCCCTCCATAGACCCTCTTGAATACTCCACAAATTAACAATTTTTGTTGTAATAATATCCGTTAATCCCCTATCCATTTGCATTACTCGTCTAAGAAATGACTCCTACTCACTATTGTTGTGTAAATCGAGGCTCTAGCACATTACTCGGGGTTTTTCTTTTACTATCCATTATTAACATTTCTTCCATTAATAATGCACTCCTGGGTCGCCGATATGTTGCTTATCTGTTCCTAATTTGCCGACGGTTCCTATTTTATGCACGGAATTTCATTATACTAGTCCTATTTTCCCTTTCTGTTCGATATCGTTTTTTTATCTTTTGCTCCTAATCGGTTATTATAGAATGATTTTTTAAAATCTGACACCTTTATCTCTGAACCCTCAAATGTGCGCTTCGCAATTCTTCTTATAATCGGTAACTTTTTTTCTTTCCCCTAGAATTTGAACTTCACAGTAGTCCCTATAATCCGTCATTGTCCTTCTTACATCTGATATGTGTGCCTCACATATATCCCTATAGTCCGTTATTTTCTATTTACTCCCTCGAATTTTCTTCTGGCAATTCTCCTTATAGCTGGGTATATGTTTAATCAATTCCTTACTGTCAATTTCTTTAGTCTTCCCTTCATTACTCATTAAGTCCCTGATGCCTAAATCTTTAGCGAATGATTTCTTCATATTTAATAGCTTTTCTCTTGCACCGACAACTTTAGGCCACGAATTATCTTCATATCCTGATAGCATTCCTTTTATTTCTAAAAGGGGTTCTCTATAGTTTTGTCTACATTCTGCTGGTTTTTTCAGAGCCACAAAATTTCTTCAATACATTTTACCTTATCTGTCACATCGTTTTTATTTTTAGCCACTAGCCAATCTTCAACCTTCTGCACACGCAGCTAATGGTTTGTTCGTCGTTCTAAAATTTGTTGTCTTCTTTTGGCTGCTTACTTCGCTTGAAGAATCATTAAAGGAATACTAACAAAGGGGAGAAAAAAAAGAGGCCATGCATAGGACATATTAAAAAATGGTTGTTCCACCAGATGAATAAAAATGAGGACAAAAATAGTGATAATAATAACAGCGCTTCTAGCAGTTTCTATTGATGTATTACATTATTGCAATGGTGGCATATCCATAGTAACAGGGATATGGTTAGAACTTTTACAAGAAAGGGAGAATTAACTTCCTCCCCAGTGAAGGACTTCATTGATACAATCATTTCCGTGTCGACAGACAGCCTACATATATTTTGATATCCTTAACAGTTTGGAAATATGTATAACTTGTTACGATTTTACTTGGTTACCTCTTCTGCCACTTCTTTAATTAAAAGAGCTTTTAAAGTTGCTAAAGTGAGGATGAACTCAGCAACGGAAAATAAAGCTGTGGTAGGACAAATCGCTTCAGAAATAATCGCGTATAATAAAACGTACCGGCTGATGTGTATATAATTTCTTACAGGTAAGTCACTAATTCAAACAGTTTAGACGGGGAAGACTCCCATGCACTCAGTTAATAGGAGGACTTCTGTTTTATGCCGTTAACAGAGCGTCGCAGGAAAATATTTCACAAAAAAAATGAATGAACTGCTAAAAGAATCAAACTCGTTCAGAGTTATAAAATGTTAACCTGCAAATTCATAGGTAAAGAAATATGCAATTTGTAACTCATACATTTTAGCATGAATATGAGCATAAGGGACGAACGAATTTTAATTTGTGCTTCGAGTAAATCTCCTCTTATGAATTATGTTGCAATGCATGGTGACAGGCAACTGGGGTGGTCAGCACCGATCACGGCAATAGCGGTGACAAAAGCAGCGACAAAGTAGTGACAATGTAAGGATAAGAATAGAAAAACTAAATATTGAATGCCCTCTTTCATAAGTTAAAATAGCAACGCTAGTATAGAATTAATCCTACCGACAAATAAGACTTTTATGAAACACAAAGTATCCAGCGGATAGTTCACCAATAAGTTGATAAAACAAATGGTGGAAATTTTTCCTAATATTGTGCAATATAATACAAAACCAGGGAATCTAATGCCCCTACTCTTTACGGTAAAATTAGAGTGAAATTGTGACATATATATTTCTACGTCTATCTATGTGTAAAGATATATTTACGTACTTAATTCTACATGGTGGGGGA